CTGGCGGCCGATGGCATAGTGTTGAACCACTATTACACGCATCCGGTGTCGTGTCCGAGTCGGGCGGCCCTACTGACGGGCGTACACCCCATACATACGGGGCTACAAAACTTTGTAATCATCAACCAGTCGCCCACTGGTCTGCCCCTACACTACAAACTATTGCCACAGTATCTCAAACAACACAATTACGCCACACATATAGTCGGTAAGCAGTGTTTAGTTATAAACCAGTTTTACTCGAATATGACCTGGTTAATTATGCCGATTAACATTATTTTATTGTCTTATATCTTTAAGGCAAATGGCATTTAGGTTACGCGCGCCGGGAGTTTACTCCCACCTACCGGGGCTTCGATTCTCACGTGGGCTTCTGGGGCTATAATAAGCAGTATTTCAATCACACGGCGTGTGACACGTGGCCCGACGAGTGTGGACTCGACTTTCGGCATAACATGACGTTAACGACCGACGGAACCGGCGTTTATTCCACCCATTATTTTACCGACCGGTGCCTCCATATAATAGGTATGTGCTGTTCATGTTATATTTGTTATAATTATTGTATTACGTATACTTTATTTAAATTACAATTATAATCGTGAGACAAAAATTAAACATATAATACAGATGGTCATAACAGCACACACCAACCCCTGTTTCTATACATGCCCTACCAGGCCCTGCACGCAGCCCGTGCCAAACACACGGTTGCCCCACAAAACTATATCGATATGTTTGCGTACATCGCGTCCGATAAAAGGCGTCGATTGGCGGCAATGGCCTATAGTGTGGACGAGTCGGTGGGACTGATAGTCGATAGGTTGCACTCGAAGGGAATGCTCGACAATAGTATTATTGTATTTGCGAGCGATAACGGAGCTCACCCTGATGGTATATTAGCTACAGGGTTATATTTACAGTATAGGGAGATAGTAATTAGCAATTTTTTATCAATAATTATTTTAGGTAATGGAGGCTCTAATTGGCCGTTCAGAGGCAATAAAACGGAATTATTTGAGGGAGGTCAATTAGCAACTTTTTTTATCTTTTAGTTTTTACTTTTAATGAATAAATAATAAAATCATATAAATTGATATTAGCCCTAAGAGTGCCGGCATTCATATGGAGTCCATTACTTCGCAAAAGTGGTTACGTCTCGGAGGCCCTCATCGATGTGTCGGACATAATGCCAACCATTTTAGACGCAATCGGCGACAGACACCTACTTTCACACGAAACTCATATTTACGGTAAGGATTTGATAAATGAATATTAAATTCATGTTTTTTCTGTATTTATAATTCGTGTTAATTGAAGGCGTGTCACAATGGGATACGATGTCTCATAATGGACTACCGGTGCGATCTGAGATCATCCATAACATCGATCCGGTAGATAATATGTCTGCCATTCGATGGCACGACTGGAAACTCGTCCAGAGCTCCAGTTATAA